AGATAACCTTTGTGAATAGTTGTTTCACAATTCAGATATGTGCAAGGAAAGAGTCAACAAATGAAAAAGTTTATCATGTCTAACTAAATAACCCATGGCCAGTATGCTGCCATGAGTTGGGCAAAATCATTCAAAACACATAAATGCGCAAAATGACAAGTTAAAAATCGGACATTTCTATGGACGGTACCTGTGTGGTGGAGACGAAGCAGAACCTGAAATATCTAGTTAGCAATTAATTGTTGGAACAGTATAGTTGTTTCAGTGTTAAATGTGACTTCATGGAGATTAATCCAGTATTGTATTTAATTTCATGGAGATTTTTCCTTAATGGATGACACAATAACCTACAAAACAATGGAGAAAAATCCGAGGAGAAAGGAAGCAAACAGTATTAGTATGGATCGTGGAAGAATTTTCCATTCGTATAAGAGTATGCATCTTTACAACTGCAAAAATTTCCAAATATGTTCACTAGCCAAATAAATATCCTTTGATACATGCCTGTACCAGTACATCCATCAGCACTTTTCTGAACAAAGTCTCAAGGCCACTTCAAGGCTAAGAAGACAGACAAGGAGTGAGACAGTATGACCATGAGTATACTAATCCAGTGAGAACTCCTCAAGCCATATCAGCACTTCATTCCTCTTCAATGAAACCAGCCCGGAAACAAGTATAAAGAATGGTGTTAATGAATATTACAAATACAGAAGATAGTACTTAATGAAATTAAGTCAGATTAATAGAACAATTGTTGCATCAACATAGTAGACTGTCAAAGCAAGCCAGCTAAAAAGCACATTGTATCTAACCATGATGGTTCAGTCAGTTCAAAGAGTTATATGAGAGTGATGACTACTGAAGAAAGGTGAGGAGAATCCCTAATAGGAAAAAGGACTCTAGCATAAGAAGATAACAAAAGGACTCTAGCATAAGAAGATAACAATTCCAACAATGAAATATCTGAAAGTAAGTTGTGCCACTTTATACATGATCCATGTCAATACCAAACTCAGAAAAAGCCATGGAATTTTCTGATTTCCTCTATTCTATGAATTCATATTTTCCCTACATGGCACAATAAGAGTATAGAGTATTTATCGTCAATCAGAAGCAGTACCACACTTTTGTGAATTTGAGTTGTCACCAATGAAGTTACATCAGCATGAGTTCCTTAGGTTAATTAATGGTGTATGCAAAGGTTGAGAAAAAGAGTAGCATGTTGGCTTTCATTTGAAGCCAATACAATCCATTCTTTTTCTGAAAGTAGATGTTGAATCACCCTAACAACCACAGCTGGATATTTGAGGAGGTTCAACTCAAAATTGAATGAAACATTGCAGGACAAACATTGAACTGGATAAACAGTAGAAGCAACCTCAAGATACCTGAGAACAATGTGCTTAAACAGAAGCTAAGTATCATACCATTGTAAAGCTCCATGTTCGGCCTGGATCATTGTATCGAGCCAGCAAACAACCTTTCTTAGGTCTGAGACCATCTCTGATAAGACTAGAGCGCAATGCTTTCTCTTTGTCATAAACAATATCCTCAGTAGGTTTTCCACTAAACTTTAGTACTGCAGCAATGCCTCCTTCTACCTTTCTCAAGCTAACTGTTTCTTGATTAGGACCTGGTAAGCTGGACAAAGATCATACTTACAGCTTATCTTTTTAATAATAAAATGGACAGACAAATGTTCATTTTCAAATGATTTATAATTTAAACATCTATACATAATATTAATAGTCTCAATTTGAACAAGGGAGCCAATGTGGATGATGGGCCTCACCTGTTCATATCTTTGTTGAGTGGAAGAACTATTTGGATGGATACTTTTGACATATCAGCATCGTATGCCTCAGTGAAAACAGGAGTTGTCATAGGTATCTTCTCCATTGTGGAATTTTTTCCGAAAATATACCTGCAGAAATATAACAAACCATTTTTACTGTCTTGAACAATATATTATCTTAGGAACCACATAGGAAAAAAGAGTTACTGATTGGGATTTCAGGAACACATACCCAGTAACATCATTGAAACCAGAGGACCCAGATAGCTTGTCTCCATTAGTTTCTACCACGACAAATGGGGTGTATTCTCTAACCTATACAATCATCCAAATATTTACCCAAACATGTATAATCATCTGGAACGAACTCAGATTGATTAACTGATCATGGATATGATGCAAATGATAGTAGAATAAGTTTTTATCCAGAAAAACAAGAATTCTAACTTAGAGTGCACAAATTTCATGTAGGCCAAAGGACTAGTTATGGTGTTGGAGAATATGATCAATAGATTGAAAACGAATACAGTCATAGCAATAACATTCAAAATCTTACAGAAATGAATATATTATGATACCATAATTCAGCACCACTCCTGCCAGCTTTAATTTTTTCAGACAATTAGTATGTTTTTTCTCTCAATTTTTCTTTTTAAAAATTCTCCTCATTTTCTCAGTCAAACAAGAAATTTCATAAGAGAAGAAATCTTCTGGCACTAGAAAGATGTATGCTTTGATTCAAGGTTTCTGTATTATATAAAGACTCTTTGAGATCCAAACTTATCTATTCCACGAAAGACCACCTTGAAGAGAAATTGTTAGTCTTGATTTTTGCACAAATATTTGATGCATATTTCATAGCATCTTATACAGTCTCCCTTTCATTTTCTGTGATCATTTGAAATGACTTCACCACAAATCATGCACTGGATTTATACAATCAATTTTGCTGTTTTTTCAAAAGAACACCACTCTTTCTTACCTTATGATCCACATTTACAATGTAATTGGTGACTTAAACAAAATAGGAAAAAAACAATGATATAGTGATTGTTTCCAGCACCATGTGCAGGACCATTTTTCACATACAACTGATACTTATTTTCTCACCATCATTTTCTGGGATATTAAAGTTTAATTCAAGTCTCTTTTTACATTTTCTGTTATTGTCTTTGATAACTTAGCCACTAGTGGAAGATTCCACTCTTTAATATTAATAAAGAAATGCAATGATGTGAGATCTCAATTGGAGAGGAATGCGTAAGATCGGTGCCTTTCAAAGAACTGGGGATATGTTTGCAAAGATGCTGATTTCTGCAACAGAGTATAAGCATATAAGTAGTGAATGAACAGTAATCTATCCAAGATAAAGCAGACAACCTCATAGTTTGCAGTTCTTTTGAGTATCTGATATTTTGGCGTTTCCAGGTCAGGGGTCTTGTAAACTCGTAACTGCAAAGAATTACATTCTACAATAAGAAGGAACACTGATTTGTGTTCACACAAACATAACCATCTAATGGAATTTAAGCCAATAAAGAGCGAGTACCTGCTTAAATACATCCCACAAACCTTCCAGTGAAAAGTAGTCATTGTTCACTATGGAATCCCAAAAATCCTAAAAATATGAAAATGAAAGATTAAGAAATTCCTAGTAAAGCATATAGCCTACCAGTTTTTATGGTGAAAGGGGTGAAATCATACCACATGGCTGCAAAATTTCCCAGTGTCTGGATTAATTCCCATAACAGAGGTGCCAGTAAATATCAATTCTGGTTTCCATGGCAGAAGGACAAACTTCATCACCATAGTCCACCTTGTGGTTATCTCATATGGTCCTGTCTATAGCAACTCAATCAGTAAAAGACGCAAAATCTTTAGAAAAGGTGGAAAAAAGATAATCAATAGAGAGCTTGATATCATCATATTAGGAGAGTGCTTTAGCAACAAAAAGTAGAAAATCAATAAGAAAGCATAAAGTAGATATGCAATATTAAAACCGAAGCAGGGAGTTTAGATCATCACTCAATATCTGAAAACTTCTACTTCTCTGACAATGACTGAATAATTTAATAAAAGCGCAAAGCCTAATGGAACCATTAAATAAAACCATTCTTAATTTCTTAATGGTGTTTATAAACTAGATTACTAGTAAAAAATTTAGACCCATGCAAGAGTCGTATATTTGGATTAAACTAAAAAAAAACATGCATGCATATCAAGACTGACGACCCAGATTCCAATAAATTATGAATATAGAACTTCAAATACATAAATTAACAACTCCTAAGCTGACACACTTCCTATATAGTTTAAGTAATTAACTATCAATATCATATTTCAAACCAAATGATTCTTAAACCATATAATTTATAATTTTCTTGCACTGAAAACAAGTTCAGCAAGTTAAATAATAGTAGAACATAGTTACATCATATCAATCTACACGACATTGACATGCTCGCATGAAATCAATTGGGGGTCAATTAAAGCTCACTCTATCCACTGCAATTAATGATTAATAATTATTATCACTCTATCCACTGCAATTAAGGATTAATAATTATTAATTCAACAACAAAAAGAAACAATAATAAAACACACCTGCTTGACCCAGTGCAACTGAAAATCAGGCCTGAAGAGTTTCTTCAACAGCGAAATGTTAAAGAGATAGCCACCTATAGTATCATGCTTGGTAATGGGGTCCCTGAACTTGACCTGTTCATCGTACGCCGCCCGATCAATCCCCTGATCATCAAACAAGTGTGGAAGATCATCATACAAAAAACCCACTAACCGTTCCACGTCCACCGTTGATTTAGGCGGGCTGCTTTGGTTCACTAAGTTTAGCCTAACTGCCCATTTCAAATTTTGGTTAGTCTTAACGGCTAAATTTCTTGACTTAAAAACTTTTGTAGGGAGAGGAAGTCTAGTGAGTCCTCTGGCGCCCGGTTGACAAGAAGTGAAGCTAACGGCGGCATTTAGCCGGAAAGTTTGATGGGCAAGTCGTGTTGTTGTGGCCATTTGATTTATTTGTTTCAGATTTGCATAACTTTTGTTGGGTCCCTTATCATTGTTATTAATTTATTCCCCAATCTAATGGTGTGGCCTTGGTTAAGAGAGCGTGCATTTTTTGGGGTCAGGTCACGAGCCAAGAAAATGAATGGTTGGCGTTTGTTAAAAGCTTTTGGGAAAACCAACGGACACATTAGAGATAGAGGTGTACGAATATGAGGTTTTGTTGTTTGGGCTTCTGAGGAGCTATGGTTGATCTTTAGAGAGAGTTCTTGGTGGTCACCAAATTATATACCAAGCCCAAGTAGGACCGAACAACGTGTATTTATGATTTGAATTATAAACAAAATGCAAGACATTTGAGTATTTAGTGTATTGGTTCAAACAAGAAGAGCGGAAGTCTATCTATTATTACTTTTAATTCAGGTTTAAAAGAATTATTTGAATAGATTTTGACCCTTAATCTTAATTATAACTAAATAAATAATGACTTGATGAAGCCATTAATTTTCAAATTTTTATGGCGAAAGTACATGTTGACATCATCTCCATCAACCAGGATTCAACAAACGGATGAAAACAAAGTATGATAACTATCTGATTCTTAAACCGACTCAAAAGGATATTTGCATCTACAACTGTCGTAATTTCATTAAATTAAAGATATAGATGAAAGCTCTCAACAAATCAGAAGGAAGGAAGATCTTCGCTAAATTAAGACAACTTGCATAAACACTCATTATCTTGAACTAAAAAGACTATAAATAGCTCCACCCCTCACAATGGAATTGATTATCAAATTCATACATTTATTCTGTAGCAAAAATAGTAAAGTCACACTATTAGAAAGAGACTGACTTATCATTCTCTAAGAATACTTCAAACACTTGTAACCTTAAGAGATCGTTTGAAAGATCGTTTTATTTGTAATCTTCACTAACGATCACAAAAGAAACCATAAACATATCTCACGAGTAACTTCTTAACACTTTGTACATGAGTAGTAGTCACTGTTAAAATATTGTTAAACACTGATAAACAAAACATCTTTAACAGTATAAATCCTCCTCCTCCGTTTGTATGTAAAGGTCCACATTTTGTTCTTATGTCCTTCGCTGCAGTACAGACTTGTCCTTTGTAACGAAGGGCAAACAGCCACAGAATTAAGGAAATGATTTCATGTGTATTGCATTGGGTAGGTGACATGCGTCCCATTTTTCCACCACTATCCTTGAAGAAAGCAAAAAGATCACTTGTACCTTTCCACCCACAAATAAAAACACCATAACCATACATATTATTTAACCTTCATAAATCAAAATATCGATCTTACAGATTCTGCATTACAGACTTTGGGTTTACAGTATTGGTGCCACCTAGGCATTTAGTGGCGATTTTTGTACGTGTCCTGCACACGCCACCCTCAGAAATCCACGAGACATGCTTAAACCAGAACACTCCACACTATGGCTACAACTTTTCTACCCTTTATTTAAAGTTCATCTGCACCCATGTCCCTGCCCAAGTCCTTCCGGGAAATCTCTCTTTTCTTTGTTCAGTCACTTCAACACGCATTAGCTAGAAAATATGCTTCACATCTCACAGTTCATCATGCATGTTAATGAGCATGATGATTTTGATGATAATATTCATGATTATTATGGGTGTCCTTACTACCCTAACGAACCACTTGAAGGAGATGGAGATGATGACGACGACGATGATGGCACCGACTTGGCTCCAGCTGCATCCATGGAAGGCGACGGGGACGACGATGACGATGATGGTGGATATGACTATGCTCCAGCAGCTTAAACGATGTATAATATAAGCATCTTTAAAAAACCCTAGTTTTCTAGCTCTAGCTAGAAACCCTAACTATCTATTTTCTTTGGTCCTTATAGTTCCTCAATAGAAAGTTATAATCAGTAGCCCGTATCTGCACTGGTCCCTTTGGCTTATGTAGGTTTTTGTTTCTTGTTTCCACTACGGATGGATGCTAGCTCTTTTTAGTGGGCTTTGGTTAGGAAGTTCCAGCAGGAGTACTGCATACATATATATGATAAGAAGATGTAGTACGATCGTTACCGTATCAATAAAAAATCATTAGCTTCTTATTGTAATAATTTCATCATGTTAATCATATTGGCTTATCATGCATGCTTGAAATTCTTTACATAGTATAATATATTATCGATGAGTCTTAAAGAGTCAATAAAGCAAATAAAAAAATCATCCCAAATCCACGATATATATTGACCGTCAAAGTATTATTATAAAATTCATTTCTTGCAATATGTACTTTACATGTGCATGTATGAACTATGGTACTCTTAACTCAGACACAATCAAGCAATTAATCACAGATTTCTACGAGTATGTATGAGCATAAGAAGTTGTTTTCGTCTAAACACATAAGTTGTTCCTCAGGTGATTGTTCTCTGAATTTGTATAAATACAAATAAATAATTAATGAAAACTTCAACCACACTTCTGTATTGGGATGATGAATGGATGTGATAAAATTAAGTTGCTGCTATTTTATGCAGGAACAGCTCAAGAAGCCACATTTTTCAGTCAATCAAAGCATAAAGCTCAATTTTTCAACCGTAGCGGTAGGTATTTTTTGGATCAACTTCCTGGTAAGAACTGGTTTTGTTAGTTCGGTCAATTTACGATATCAACCATGCATGCCATACATTAATGGAAAGCTCTGGAAGTCTAGTTTCTAAAACAATAAATTAATGGGGCAGCCATCAAGTTTCCTAAAGAAATTTAAGTCTGATTCAATAATCAAGGGTAAATATATCTAGTTAGTGAATTACTAAACATGGAAAAACCATATCAAGAACATTTTTTCTTTCCTTTTTGCATTTTCAGTTCTCGTGCTTGGTTCCTTTTCACTTAATCATTTATGAATTATAGGGCTCCGTTGTGCTTTATTAGATATGTGTTTTATCCCATAGCTCCATAAAAAGTATGAATGCATATTTAGTCTCTCTAATTTCGTATCAAATACCCAACCATATAAGCCTTGTCTAATGAACGAGAGAGTGACATCCGGCCTGATTATCGATGTTGTTAGTGTTTTTGCTATCTTATGATCTTGTTTTGAATCCTACATTATCTTTTATTTTCTGTTAATGTGGGCATACTCTCTAAAGGTGATCACCTTAACAAGTGTGAGCACTTTAAAGTCTGTGTGCTCACAATGTATCTGACAGATATTTTTCCTCAATCACACATCACGCACCCGTTTTGTTTTTTAGACAATATTATTCCTTGTTGATGTTTTGTTTTGTGTCTTTCCACTTGTCCACTTTCTATTCATTGTGTGATAAAAGGAATATTGTTTTTGTTTATGGTCCCAAATTTCTTGTGTAAAAAGAAAAACACAAATTAAAAGTTTTACTTTAACTTTTTTATCCCCCAACCTTAGTCACCTTGTTCTCTATATATTCATACTTTTCTGGTGTGTTCCTCAAGAAACCTATTTGCCTCTGATTCATCACTGAATATCCTCTGAGGTTTTTGTATTGGTCTAAGGTTTCTCATAGGTTTTGGTAGACTTAAAATTACCTTCTCTTAGATTGTCTTTGTTGTGATGATTCTGGAACATGGTTCCATGTTGATGCTTGGACGTTTGCAAGTTGTTGTTTTGAAGTTGATTATTTACTGTCAAAACTTGAGAGGAGCTCAAATGCGACCTGATGGTCTCGTGTGTGAAGCTTGCTATGGTAGCTTGAAGTTCAACCGAAGAAGAGAAGATTGATGTGTTGAAAACAAGGAGTATTTAGCAACTATGTTTTTCTTGCTTTGTATTTAAACTCATAAGTTTACATAGTGGATTTGCTTCTTCTAGACTTGGTCCCATGGATGTAGGCAATTGCCGAACCATGTAAAAATGAGAGTGTTCTTTTCTTGCTTTGACGGATGTTTCATTTATGTCTTGAACAACTCTTATGTACAATATAAACAAGCAACCCATTCTGCATAAGTTTTAATCACTTGGTAGCCCCTTTAAAAAGTTCATTTGGTATTAGAGCTTGTTCTGAAGAGTTATTTCAATTGATCCTTGCTTGTTATTTGTGCTTAAATCTTGATTTGGTGTCTGTTGCATTTTTGCTTTTATTTCAAGTTTTTTTGCAATTTTTTTGCTACAGACCTTGTGTGGCCGCCTTGGAGCTGTGTGACCACCCCGTGTTGAACTTTTTGGTTGTGACCACCTCTGTTCTTAGTGTGACCACACTGATTGTTTTGTTTACCATGAGTTTGTTTAGTGAAGGGGGATCTACTCATAGACCATCCTTGTTGGAGAGAACCAACTATCCTTTCTGGAGACCCAGGATGCGTGCCTTCTTAAAATCAATTGATGAAAGGGCATGGAATGCTTGTGTTGTTGGTTGGAAAGAACCACAAGTTGTTGGTGAAAGTAGTAGTAGTAAAGGAAAACTCATAGATCAATGGACCAAGGCTGAGTTAGAAGAGTCTAACTTTAACTCAAAAGCTTTGTATGCCTTGTTTAATGCTGTCAGTTTTAGTTAAATGAAAAATATTGCTAACTATGAGATAGCAAATGATGCATGGGATAGACTCCAAGTTAAAAATAAAGGAATAGACCTTGTTAAAAAAATTAGACTTAGGAGATTAATTGCTAACTATGAAAATCTTGTTATGTGTGATGATAAATCTATTTCTGATTTCCATGGCTGTTTGTGTGATGTTACAAATAAGTGTTTTGCTTTGAGTAAAATCTATTCTGACGCTGAACTTGTTAGGAAAGTGTTGTGCTCCTTACCTGAGAGATTCATGTCCAAGGCAACCTCTATTGAAGAATGTCGTGACCTCTATGTGATGCAGCTGGACGAACTAATTGGATCTCTTCAAACATATAAGTAGAATTTGATGAGGTGGGGTAAGCAAAAACCAGTTAATGACCTTGCATTTAAACATACGGTTCATTCTAATAGTCTTGACAATATTGATTTGGACGATTTGGATGAGGAACAAGTTGATTTGCTAACAAAGAATTTTAAGAAAATTTTGAAAAAAACACATACAGCAAGAAAAGGAAAACAACCTTTTGATTAGTCTCTTCCTGGTGCTTTTTCTAAAAAAATTTCAAAAGAAAATGAAAAGAAAAGTAACGGCATCAAATGCTATGAGTGTGAAG